TATATTCAAAGTTATATATAAAATTTGTATGAAGATATTTTTGTAGAATCTTTTGGAACTATATATGTTTTTCTCCAAATTAAACCAATAAATACAAGGAAGAAGAATGAATAATTAAGTTTCAATAGGACTAATTCTTTATTAGATTCTTAATCATAATCTAAAATAAATAAATACAATATAATTTATTAAAAAATCTGAAGACATATAATAGGTGTAAGGATTAATCGAGAATTTTGCCTTAATATTCAATCAGTATTATTTAAGTTATAATTATTCTATTCACCTTAATTATTATTAGTCGCTTTAATTAGAACCAAAAAAAAATATTTTGTTTAAATTACATATGATGGATGAATATTGGATCTCCAATGATCTGAAAATTACTCATAAAATGTGATCAAAGACTACACTTTTCTTGATCTCATCATACAAACACCAAATACACAACATGAACAACAAGCATTCAATTTTTTCCTATAGTTTGTAGTTATAACTTTGTTTCTTTCCTTTTAGTAATTAGACACACAATTCTTGCTCATCTTATAATTCTGTTCAAGAAAAGAGAAATTAGAAGAGTTGAGTGATTTAGAACTCTTTAACACTTTGCCCCAATTTGAAATCCAAGAAAGAATTGTTCTTTGCCTTATAGTTATTTTAATTTAGAGTAGCATATAACATAAACAATCTAGAACAGATTAATGCATCAAGATAGAACATCTCATTAGTATTATTCTATGACTTGATTCCATCAAGGAAACAAACAAATCCTAAATCACAGCCAGCAACCTAACTGGTCTTTCTAATTTGGATCTTTTGCTGGAAGATCCTGTGGTTGAAGGTTACACTATATTTGTGAGGCCAAATGCATACTCATGCAACTCAAATTAAAACCATAAAACAAGTAGCTGATAATTCTTAGAGTTAGAATCATTTCCATAATTTATCTCTAATCTTGATAAGAATTTCGAATCAAACGACAAGAAATATATAATCTCGCACGGGTTGTTTACGCGACGAATGGATTTCTTGATCCGCTAGAAATTAGACAAGTAAAATAGATTAGGAAGTCAGTTATATAGCTACTTAAAAATAATAATAAATCTAATTTTCAAGAAATTATCTACACAAAGACACTGTAATCTTCTTTCATGCACCATTAAACACTATTAGTCAAAACATAACATCAATTAGTTTGTAGAAAGGAAGATGTGTGATCAATCATCATATTCATGTACAAAAAATGTTTAAATTTGTTTTGTTAAGTTGATGAACTGCATAATTACAAACAATAATTCTTCAATTAGTGGACCACACTTTGGATTTATAATTGTGACAGTGAGGAAGACATTATAAGAATCTCAATGATTGGCCCCAAATCAAAAAGAAATTGGTACCAAAAAGTGCCTGATGTGGGGGCTAAATTAGCAAATGGTTCACCTCTTAAGTTAAACCAAAGAAAAAGAAAGATTATGACCATTTTCTTGTTCTTGGAGCTTACATTGTTGGCCTTCATGGAAATGATGCAATGCAAGGACATGATTTCATTGTTCTTGTGTCATAGAATAGTGATAGGGAGATTTATTTGATCCAACAGTAAATTATATTTACACATAAAAGAGCATATCAAAAATAAAAGAAAGACTTATTTAAACCTATAAACATCATAAAATTGAGTTTAATACTTTGATCCAGTGATTCAAGCATTATCACAATATCAAATCTGATCTAATATAAAAAATAATAGAGTAGGAAAAAAAAAAGTAGATACTTCTGTCATACAACTATTTGTAGTACAACTGTTGGCAAGCAATATTATCTTGGGATCTTCTTTTGAACAATCATGGGGCTGTGTCCAACTAGCTTTCATGGTGATGTGATGCCTAATCTGTCCATCAGGGACAAGCTTGTAAAGAATCTAAGCATCTCTATTCTACATTGGACACTCTTGTGCCAAATATTCTCTTTTGTTGAGACAACTTGTAATCTAGTGTTGGATATGGTTAGGAGAGATTAAGTTTGAGCCATATCTTTATCAAGAGACACACCACATGAAGTCACCCACATCATCCTGTGTGACCTATGCAGCCACAATGAAACAAGCTGCAAACTTTTATGTCCATTGTTAATTTTCATTGTGATAAGAACCTTATCAATATTTTTCAATGGATTCTTTCATGTGTAGATGTGGTTTTTTTTTTTTTACTATTTCAATAATATGTGTCTATTTCAAGTTTTTTTTTTTTGCTTCAATATTTATAAATAGATGAATAAAAATTTTGAAAAACTGAAGTCATTAGAAAAGGTTTCACTATATGTAATAACAATTCAAAAAACATTTATATATATATATATATGAGATCATATGAACTCCTTCCATTTTGTTCTAAAAAATATGGTTTGATATAATTAGAGTTGGATGAATAAGGATGCATGTAAGAAAAAAAGTTGCTATTGTTTTAGAAGAGATATTAATCAATAAACCCTCCACAATAAGCTACAAATCTCAAATGAGCTATCCTAAATTACAAATCACCACAAGTAGAGGTTTCAAACAAAATATAATTCATCCGGCCATAAGTAGGACATAAGACTCATTCATCTAAATTGATGAGCAAGCCAGTGTTGAACTGGATCAAATCAAATAGGGATTTTTATTCCAATTATCTGTAAAAGCTCAATCCAATCTGCTCCTCCATTTAATAGTAATAATTAATGAGGATAGTAATTATGATAAGACTCGGTTGACGTCAGCTGATGCCTCACGCCTCGATCGACGCGATTGTACTCGATCAACCGAACCGGAACACCAGCCTAGCGCATTAACGCCTACTCAGGCTCGGTTCTTCACGCCACACCAACGCCCATGTCAGATGCTACCAGCCTGCCTCCTGTAGGCGGGCACATCAAACAACAGTAAGCTTCCCTATAAATACCCTCGCATTCTGAACGGAAGGGGGAGGGGGGGAGACACGCAAGACACTTCTTCATCTGAAACCCCATCCACATCTGCTAACTTGATCGTCGGAGGGGTTGGGTCGAGCTTCCCGGCCTGATCTTTGTGCAGGTGCGAAGCCGAGGGTCCCCGTCGGACGCGCGGATGAGGAGTTCCTGCCCGTAGGACACGACGACCTCGTCCTGATCGGACCATCGCACCGGACCGACCCCGCGGGCTCGAGGGACGCCCCGAGAGATACCCGTCGTTCGGACCTGAACCGAACCGCGTCGGCCCCGAGGCCACGAGTCAAAGTTGTTTCCCATAATAATAATAATAATAATAATAATAGTTATGGTGAAGATGGATCAATAATAACAACAACAACAATAACAACGTGACTTGTTGTTTATAGCCCTCCCAACCTCACACAGGACTCTTTTAAGGGCGTTGTGATCTGACCTACCTAAGCTATGCAACACCCACCAAGATGAGGTGGAAGGAGATGTCATGTGAGAGGGACTTGACCTAATCCAATGCAGTGTTGGACAGCTCAGGTGGTGGCCCAGCACAGCCATGACTCGAGCCACACCTCATCATCTCCACGAGACATGACCGACGTCACTTGCACTTCCTCACACTGCGTCTGGGAAGACGGTGTGCTTCACATGGTGGATTGCTTCATCTCTTCCAGTCCCAAGGTGAAACGTGGTGGTGGTGGTGGTGGCTCAGCCTGTCACTGGCAAGTGGAGCTCTGAACCTGGACTTGTACTCCCCCATCATAGTTGGAAGCTTCCCCGAGAGAGAGAGATCTGAACGCCACCTCGAAAGCCACAAGCTAAAGAGGGGGGTAATCTTTGCTGTTGTAGCAGTACTATCAATAAAGAGAATGAGAAGTCTTTCTCTTCTCTCTCTCTTCCACATATACACAGTAAAAGACTTGGGCTCAGAGAGAGAGAGCGAGAGAGAGAGAGAGAGAGAGAGGCAGATTCCATGCATCTCACCTGCACATTCCCAGCACCAGAAAGCTGCACCAAAGGTGGTCCATGGGAAGCTTATCCACCACCAATAAGGCTAACCAAGCATCTTCTTGTGCACCTGGCATCATCTACCAACATCTAATGGTGAAAAGATAGATGCATAATTCTTCTACACAAACATAACGATCTATAGATCTCATCACATAATGCTGAGCAGCTTAGAAATAATCATATGAGGAACGATAATTCCTTTGTAAAAAATATCCATCTTCTCAAAGATTTGATTCTCGAAACGTAATATCAAAAGGAGGATGAAATCTACTTTTGACTGCGGATCTGATTCTCAAAATGTGATGATATACCGTAACATGGATCGATGATCGATTTTGTCGCTATAGGTAAAAGGTACTTGTGGATGGCAATGTCACTGCAAACCGCGGCCTAAGCCTGCACGCATTACCAGCTACTACACATGTCGGTGGAATCATCATCTTCCTCCTCCCCAACCCAACCTACCGACTTCCCACCAATACCATAAAAGTATGTCATGGGAAAAAGCTTCTCTCGCTTCAATTCTACTCCTCGGTTAGGCCTTAAATGACAGGGACATGCTCACATATTCTGGTACTTAATTTAATTGCTTGATCCACACAGATAAGTAGGTGGAGAGTGAACAGCATCCACGACAGTGCCCTCTCTCTCTCTCTCTCTCTCTCTCTCTCTCTCTCTCTCTCTCTCTATGTATATTAGACACAAAGTAGGTAGGTTTGGTACGACAAGAAAATGTGTGTGTGATGTAATCTTCCTTCTTCCAGGCTTTTACACCAGTGTTGATCATTTCATGTTCTTGTAAACCAAATGGCTTTCTAGCTAAGGAAAAGCCATGGATGTGATTGTTGCAGGTGGAATTCCTCTTCTGCTGAATCTTAGATAGTTACTGAAGACTTATAAATGGGTTATTTTACTATGATTAATGGGACTGGTAATATTGCTACATGTAATGCGCAAATAATTATCAATGAAAACATGTCATTTTACTTGTAAATGATAGATATCCCATAGTGCGACTTTGATATTTTCCCTACTACAAATCAACTGTCACATTAAATATTTTCCCCATGTTTATCATTCATGAGGGGTTCACCATGCAACTTGGCTTAAGCTATTATGTATGTGGGAGAAAAATAAGATCAATACGTAAAACATGCAATAAACACTATATATATATATATATATTATGATTTTGGTATCTTCATAAGCGAGATTAAATTTATGAGGTTGTCCGTTGCAAAGGCGGAAGGCGAAACGCAACGCTTGCATTAAATGCACCGAAAAAATCTACACCCACGAAGGCACAATCGAGGTAGATTCTAAACCTCGGCGCCAACCCCACCGTCCCCCATTTCCTACCCAAGCGTGGGCCCCAACGGTCGCTTCACGCTGGTAGGGAACGGAGTGACCGTGGGGGCAGAGAAAGAAAAGATGATGTTTGCTGTTCCAGGGAGGCCCACGTCATCTCATACGCGAGAAGCGCCGGTCGGCGCTGTGATGAGCTGTCACCCAAAGCAGGGCTCTCACCCGGACCACTTTTTCCACCCGTCGTCACGCGTCTCCCGCAGCTACCTGTTCGCTGATTGGAGAACCTACGTGGGACACAGTTGGAACCCACGTGGACGTCCCTTGACCGCTCCACGGCGGGTAAGTTTCTGATCTTTTTTTTTTCCCTCGCGCTCGCTCTCTCTCTCTCTCTCTCTCTCTCACTTTCTCTCTCACTCAATCCAAATCGAAGGTTCCTTCTCTTTTCTTGCTTTCTCCTCTCCCCCAAATCACAACTTTTTCTTCCTTATCTTATCTCAATTCCGGTGAAATCTGCTGCCGAAGCAGTCGAAGTTTCCCCTCTCGCGAAGATGCCGGCGTGGTGGAAGGGGAAGTCGAAATCCAAGTCGAAGTCCACACCCAGCCCTCGGAGTAAGGAGCCGGAGACGCCGCGGACGCCGAGGGCGACGGTGACGCTGCCGCCGGATGAGGAGCTGGTGGGTAGACATGGCACTAAGGCGAAGGCTCATAGCTTTGACGAGGCTCTCCGCCCTAGGATGAGCGGAAACCCTCCTCTTCTTGGCGGCGGCGGCTCCGGTGGAAGGGGATCTGGAACGGGCTTTGTGTTTGGTCACCCGCTCCCGCTTCCGACCTCGATCCCGCCACACGGCGTGTCGACCGGGTCGGCCTCGGCCTCGGCCTCGGCGTCTAGCATCAGCTCCTCCGGCTCCTCGGAGGAGACGCCAGATCTTGGGATCTATAGGTAACTGGGCTTGGCTCCTTTTTGTTCTTTTCGTTGTGGTTTCTGTCTCTCGGAGGCCTGATTGGATTGTGCTCGTTCCAGATGAAATTGTTGTGCCTTTCATTCTTTGATTTTGGTTTTGGTAAAGATTGAATTTTTTGGTTGGCTTGATTGGTCTAAAGCGATGAGTAATATTGGAGCTCAGAGATCTTAATAAAGTGGAAATCGTTACTTCTGATTGTTTTTCAGATTCGGTCTGTTGCTATTTTTGGGCAGATTTTTCCGTTAGTAAAACTAAGAATTGTCTTTCCCCTTTCTTAAATTTTACTTCAATTATTAGGCTGAAAAATTGCCTCTTGCTGAAATATCCCTTTGGTTTTCTTGTTCTTTTCGCATGGAATGATGGATCATTGTTTCTTTTTCTTGTTTCCTCTATAACCCTTAATTTGAGTCACTTATCTAACATTGGTGGCTATGTTTGCTTACTTTGCAAATAAGGACTTGTTGTTATCTTTGTCAAAAATGAGATTTAGATCATATTCGTATTGTTTGTAGGTATTCCGACCCGATCAACACGCCGAGGGGAAGAAACGAAACGCATGATTCCCGAAGGCGTGAGCAGACGGCAGAAGATATGCAACTCTTTTCATGCAGTCCAGTTTTGGAGCATCCTAATGGTGGAAATGCATATTCTCATGGTCGAACTTTTACAGACACCATATTCAGTAGAAGGACTGCGAGTCCTTCACCTGGCTTGAGAGGGCATACTTTTCCTACATCACCTGTGCATCCCAGTTCATTCGGTATCGGTCCAGCATCCCCAAACTGCTGGCAGGACAATCTGAGGAGCCCACCTCATCCATTGCCTCTTCCTCCAAGCTCTCCCAGCTGCTCTTCTGCTTCTCCATCTTCGTCTTCTTCACGTTCTCCTAAGTCGCTGTGGAAGAAGGGAAAATTATTGGGCAGGGGGACCTTTGGTCAAGTCTATGTTGGATTCAACAGGTACTTGGTTTATTGTGCACAATTATGCATATGCACTTGAGATCTTGTAATGTGGTTTCATATTGATTGAGAGCAGACTGATGTTGTCATGAAACATGAACCTCCGTAGTTTTTTAACTAGGAATATGTTTTTCCAGAGTTGCATTCTTGTACAATAAAGAATTCCATATTCCCTGTTTATTTCCTGAACATTAGACTATTCTAGATCTGACTTCAAGTGACCATGCTCCAGTGAAAATGGGCAGATGTGTGCTATTAAAGAGGTCAAAGAAATTTCTGATGATGCAAATTCCAGAGAATGTCTCAACCAGCTAAACCAGGCAATCTTCTGATCTTGTCTCGCCTATCAGATAACATCCCTTCGCATTTCCAGATTGGTTTTGACTCTTTAGAATTTGAGCTAACATGAAATTGCCATTTTGAGTACTACAAGTCATCAAATCATGAACTGATTGGATATTTATTTTCATTCCATCAGGAAATAGCCTTGCTTAGTAAGCTCTCACATCCTAACATCGTGCAGTACTACGGAAGTGAACTGGTAAGTGTTTGATAACCTAGCTGGTAACTTTAAACCTACTAAGTTATTTAAACTAAGGACCTTGTGAAATATATTCCATGTTTTCCACATAATGGATCTTGTTAGTCCAGTGATTTATGCTTTAAGTTTCTTTTGTGATGACCATTGGGTTAGGTTGCATAATGAGAATGCAAGTATGGTAAGAAATTAAGGGAGAGACAAAGGTGAACAAAGGGAACGAACAAAAGTCACCCACTAAATATCATGTCTCATTATCTAGAAAGCCATTTAATTAATTCGTAGTTGCCACACTCTAGATCATGAGGATGTCTTTTGCAGCATTTGCCATCATACTTGTTGGTTCTCTTAAAAAACTGGAGATATTTCAGGATTGATTTAAATAAGTCCGCCATACAAAAACGAGCTGAAATCTACCTATCTGAATAAATCTCTGATGTGACAATCAATCTGCTGTGTGACATTTCTCACCTCATTTTGCTATAAAACAGTTATAGATACAAGAAATAAAAATTTGTACATTATGTAATTTTGTTGTAGCCTTGCTTCAAGATGGCTGTTGGAGCTTTCACCTGCAACCGATGATGGATGGATGGATGGATGGAGCCAAAGATGTGTTTAACTTCCACATCCTTAACCTTTTTATCTGACAACAAAATTTAGTGAAACAAGAAATTCTTAGGACAGTAACCCTTATAATTCAGCTTGAAGAAGCTTCAGCTTATAGACCAATTAACCTGTGAACAACATTAAAAAAATCAAGTTGGATTTATGAGTAATTAAAAAAAATGAAGAATGCTATTTCAGACATCTTAAATAATATGTGACTCATGTATTTATGACTTTTTGTAAGAAGATAATGAATATGCAATATCGTAAGGACCAATTTGATCTGGACTTATCTATTGAATTTTTGTTAGGATCTACTCAAAGAATGTGTTTTTAAATAGCTTGAGTAAATGTAACCTGAATCAGTTACAAAATTTCTTGTCCAGGCTGAAGACACACTCTCAGTTTATCTTGAGTATGTCTCTGGAGGTTCTATTTACAAGTTACTTCAGGAATATGGTCCTTTTGGGGAATCTTTAATCCGCAACTACACTGCTCAAATCCTTTCTGGACTTGCCTACTTACATGGGAGGAATACTGTGCATAGGTATATGACAACAAATCCTTGTGGAGGAAACACCTTTTGTTTTTGTTGCTGCTCTGATGGCGTGAGATGGTTTCTTACCTGGCAGGGATATTAAAGGAGCAAACATACTGGTGGATCCTAATGGTGAAATCAAACTAGCTGATTTTGGCATGGCTAAACATGTAAGGTTCTTAGTAATTGAATTTCTATCATATCTACAAAATGGAATAATCTGGAATGCAATTTGATTACTAAAACTGCAGAAAACTAAAAGCATATCTCTGGTTCAATGGAAACTTCTGGAGCATACCCTCTCTTTGTGATTCATGTTCTTTCTTTTTAACGTTGATCGTATGTCCTAAAAAGTGAAGATAGCGATGCAAAAAGAAGAAAGGGATTATGGAACTATGAAATGGTTTTGATGAGTAGAAAAAAGATTTTGAGATCAATGTCCAGTATGTGGTACCTGATGCCATCAACGAAGGACATAAATGAAAAGCGGAAAAACAAGTTCTACTTCTCCCTATTATGCATATCATTCCAGGAGTGCAGGGTCAGTGATGAAGTAGCAACCAAATAAAATTGTATATGATGTTTTTGCAATTAATGGTGATAACTTCTGTGACTATTAGTGTTTGCAACTAAGTTGAATTGGTAGAGAGATCTAAATGTGCTAATTTGAAAATAAAACTTGGAAACTATTATTATCTTAATTTATTTTTGTGTTCAAGCATATGGATATTGACCCAGAGGACCAAAGCAACTGGAGATAGTATGACATCATCATGAGTGAAAACATCTGACTTGTTCAAACTATTTTAAGTCAAGGATATACTACAGTGAGGAAATTAATCTATCCAAGTCCAAATATTTAATTTTAACATAAAACAATGTTTTGAAGAAACAATCATATACTATAGTGACTTCAAAAAAAGAATTAGCCTTGTCTATTTTTCACTTGAGACATGAATGTAGCAAGATGCATTATTGTACTTTAGTCGAGATTTCCATTTTATCTGTGCTGACTAATGGTTATTGTTTTTGCTAACTTTACTCGGTTTCTCACATTGTTCATCTTGAAACAGATATCTTCTTACACTTCAATACGTTCTTTCAAGGGAAGCCCTTACTGGATGGCTCCTGAGGTAAGATTTTACCTGATATTTGCAATGCTGCCTTCTTGAAGTTCATGTACAAACTACTAAGTGCTCTGGTTTTCTGGAAATTTTAACATTATGCAGATTGTCATGAATAGCAGTGGCTATGACCTCTCAGTAGATATATGGAGCCTAGGATGTACAATTATTGAGATGGCATCTTCAAAGCCTCCCTGGAGCCAGTTTGAAGGGGTACATTATCCATATGTTGGCACTTGATTATTCAATGATAAAACCAGCATGAATGTGTTCTAAGGTTTCATGGGTACATGTTTAATGTTCCTAATTTTTAGGTTTATGTTTCAATTAACAGGTTGCTGCGATATTTAAAATTGGTAACAGTAAAGATATACCAGAATTCCCAGACTATTTTTCTTCTGAAGGAAAGGAGTTTTTAAAGCTATGCTTGCAGCGTGACCCATCAGCTCGTCCCTCATCAGCGCAGCTGATGGATCACCCTTTTGTTCGAGACCAAGCAATAATTAAAGCTGCAAAGTTGAATCTTATCAAGGATGTGGCCTATTCTACCTCTGATGCAAGTCATCCAATGGTACAGTTACACAGAAAATTGCACCAGCATGTCAATAATTTCTCGATTATATGCACATCAGGCTTTATTATTCTGATTACTAGCAACAGATCAAATTCAAGTTTTTCCTTATGTGAAGGATGGAGGATGTTGTTGATATGTTGGAAGTGTCTTTTTTTTGTCTGGGGTGTCCCTTTATATATTTCATATGGAAGTAGACTTGATTCCCTTTATTTTTCTAAATAAATGAAAGACATGTTTCTCTTGAGTTTTTGACTCATTTATTTTTTTCCTGTTGTGCATCTTTTCCAAGTTATTTAGATATTCCATCAAAATTAGCTTCCTTATTTCTTCATACTGGCATTTCTATTAAAGATGGAGCCAATTCCATAACTTTTCTCTCTGCTATATTGTTCAGTATATTTCATAGACCAAACTATTAAATAATGTTCTAAGATAATAATTTTATGATAGTTTATCTATCCTCAGACAAAATTTTGATATTTGCTTCATAATTCCTCCCATGAATCATATTTGGCTGAAATATTTTTCAATGAAATTGAGGCATGTTTTTGATTGATCGCTTGTCTCGTGATTTTGTCCTATGTGTGCAGACATGCTCAATCAACCTGATATTACTTCTGATATTTACTAGTTTAGATAAGGGGGGACTTTGAGTCTGTTTTGCGCACATATTTGTTCAATTAACATGCAATTATGACTCAAATTTAATAACTCTATGCATGCTAATTCTCACAGTTAGCTTGCACCGGTTATTTTGGTCTATTTCGGCAATACAATCCCTACCTTAATGTTACTGCTGATGCAGAAACAGAGCACCATGGAGTTCTCTTCCAATAGGAGTACTTCTCCACTACATGATAGAGATTATGGAATGAGACGAGGATCTGGATTACGATTGCCAATTCCTATGGCATGCCAGAACCCGAGGTAGTCTGAGTTCAAGCTTGATTTCATAATAACTCCGTGTTTGTTCCTAAACTGGTGTTAACACTTTCTTTTTTTCTGCAGCGATTTACCCAGCATGAGATTGAACATGTCTCTACCTGTCTCCCCGTGTTCTCTCTCACCCTGTTCCAGTCCATTAAGGCAATTCAAGCAAACTAATAGAAGTTGCCTGCCTTCTCCTCCTCATTCATATTATTTATCTGGAGCAGCTAACCAGAGCCCAGTCAAATCAGCACTCTATCCAACCAGACCATGCAATAAGCTTCCAGATCCTTGGCTCGATATCGCGCTGTTCAAGCCGCAAGCACCATACGATTCTCCTCGGAGATCGAACATGGGTTTGTGAAGCCAAATTGTGAATATACGAGTTTTTGATCGGGCAACTGCTTGTGGAAGGGTTGGAACATTATTACTAAAATGTTCATCCTTCATCTTGTTCAGCTGACCACTTGGGTAGTATCATGGGAAGATTTCAAATATGATCTTCAAGCTGGAATGTTAGTTTTGTTTGATGTAGTTGGTTTTGTTGATAAAGATGTAGCAGTAAAGTACAATCAGATCTCACATGTTGTATAGAGCAAATTTGTGTTCATAGCATGGAATAACTAATAGAGTGTTCATGCAGAAAAGAAAAAATGATATGGAAAAAAAAAGAAATACAAAAATGAATTCAGGCCACTTCATGCCTGCCTTGAGTTTCTGCTTTGTGCATTTTACAGGATTGCAGAATGAGAGTTACAAAAACAGAGTTGATTGTTGTTCTTCAAATCTAAGATAAAGATATGATGCAGAAAACGAGCTCCGATTGAATCCCATTGTGAAGTTCCAAGGAAATCTTTGGAGGTATTTGAGGCAGATGAGAAGCTGAATTATGGTGTAGCAAATAGCAATCACCAGAAGGATACTTCCATCTGTCTCAGTGGATAGAGATGTGAAGGAGAACAGTCCAGTCCTGAAATGGGTTTCGAGAACTCGATCAACCATGGCGGGTCATTTCGTCCCTATGCATGTGGGGATGGATGCTATCCATGGAAGCGTGCTCTCCGAGAGATGATTGTGGAAATGACGCAGTAAAACTACGTGAAATCGTTGGAGATGACACCACCATACCGATGAATCCCAGTAATGAGCGGGATGGGGATGATGGATGGATCCTTGAAGAGAAGGGACGTTTCCTCCGTTGACTTTCTGGGTAGAGGAATATTTTCTCGAGTCACATTGTCAGCTTGGGAAGTCAACTTGGATCTCTATTGTTTGCTTCGTGTCTTCTCGGATCATGGAATGCAGTTCGTCATTGACTTGACATGAGATGGGAAAAATGCCACCGCATCAAAAGTATCGATGACAACATTCCATGCTTTTACTCATTTCGACTTCTCGTGGAGAATAGAAACTGCATTAAGTTGCCACACACTCACTCTCTCTCTCTCTCTCTCTCTCTCTCTCTCTCTCTCTCTATATATATATATATATATATATATATATATATATATATATATATATATATAATGTCATTCTTGCTCAGTGAAGGAAAGTTTGCACTCAAAATAGTTGCATATGAATGAGGTCTTGCCTGTTTCTAGATGATAGAAAAGGATCTAGGATAAGTAATTAAGAGTGTTCCTCCTATCAAAATTATGAAATTCTACTAGCTAATATATTTCATCAGAATTTAATTAGTTATATTATATATATCTTATCCAATTATAAAGGGTCATAAAATCTAACATTTTCCCACTTGGTCCATTAATTGATAAAATATAAAAGAGATATTTAAAATCAAAATAAATAAAATAAAATTATTTTAAAATAATTTTACCTAACTAGATTCCAAAATTTTTTTGAAAAGCATTTTATATATGGCTATGAATTTTAAAACAAGCTAATAAGTCCAATAAACATAATAATAATATATTAAGTCAAATTATCAACGCGAGTCATAACGGTTATATATCATCAATGTCATACTCCTTTCTATATACCACAACATTGTTAGTCTTTCCTTATATAGTCCATAATAATTCCTGTAATTTATCTTGTTAAGACAATCATGTTATTATATTTAGCTATAATATGTATAAACATAAATGTAAATAGGATAGCAGAAACAAATAACTTTAATTAAGTAAAAAAATCTCAATAATAGCATCCACCTAAACATGCATCAATATATCTTTTATGACTTGCTCACAAGTCCTATTCTAAGAACATGTTCTTTAAATATTTTATAATGTAAAGCTTTTGTCAATGGATCAGCAATCATCGTAGTGGTACTCAGGTTCTCAATTGATACTTGTTGTTTCTGGACTCTTTCTATAACCACAAAGTATTTTATCTCAATGTGCTTGGAACCACTAGAGTACTTGTCATTTTTAGAGTAAAAAACTACTACGGTGTTATCACAAAATATCTTCAGCGGCCTAGCAATTGAGTCGACCACACCAAGTCCCGAAATAAAATTTTATAGCCATAAAGCTTGATTTGTGACCTTAAGGCATGCAACAAATTCAGCTTCCATTGTTGATGATGCAATAAGCAATTGCTTTACACTTTTCCAAAAATTATCCCACCAGCTAACATGAATGTAAATCCTGAAGTGGATTTTTCACTGTCGAGGCAATTTGTAAAATCAACATATGAATATCCTATCATTTCAAGTTGATCTGATCTCCTATATGTGAGCATATAATCTTTCATCTCCTGTAGATATCTTATTTTTTTCTTTGCAGCTTTCCAACGTTCCATTCCTGGGTTGCTTTGATATCTTCCTTGCATTGTAACTGAAAACTAATATATGGTCTTGTACAGATTTGAGCATATAATAGACTTCCAACTACACACCCATAAAGAATATTCTTCATTTGATTCTTTTTAAAGTCATTTTTCGGACATTGGTTTTGACTGAATTTTTCATCTCTAGTAATATGTATATCATTGGCTGAGCAACTCTGCATGTTAAATCTCTCCAACATACAATTAATATATTATTTCTGAGATAATCCTAATAATCATTGAGATATATCTCTGAATATCTCAATGCAATAACATAGGCTACCTCATTCATATTAATCATCTTAAAGTTCTTGTTGAGAAATATCAAACTTGCTCCTACTTACTTTCAGGTATATGTACTGATCAACAGTATTTTCCTTAAATCCGAAAGAAGTAATGGTATTATGAAACTTTATATAACATTATCTAGAAGTTTGTTTAAGACCATAAATAGATTTCTTAAGTTTACAAGCTCAACTTTCTTTTCCCTTTTTTATGAATCCTTCAAGTTGTTTTATATAGATTTCCTCGTTCAGATCCCCATTCAAAAATGTTGTTTTCACATTCATTTAATGTAACTCAAGATCATAATGAGCTACTGATGCCATAATGATTCTCAACGAGTCCTTTTTAGAAACCGAAGAAAATGTCTCATTATAATCGATGTCTTCTTTATAAGAAAAATCTTTGGCCATAAGTCTGGTTTTATATTGTTCGATATTACCCGTTGAGTCATGTTTTATCTTAAAGACCCATTTACAATTGACTATTTTATAATTATTGGATAATTCAACAAGTTTCCAGACACCATTCCAGACCATTGATTTTAACTCTTCTTTCATTGCATCATACCTTTTTTCAGAATTGTTATTTTCTATAGCTTGTGAAAACGATAAGGGGTCTTTTTTTATTCTTATATCATAATCTGATTCTTGTAGATACATCACATAATCATCAAAAATAGCATGTTTTCTTTTCCTTTGAGATTTTCTCAAAGTTGCCGATTGTGATTGTTCTACAAGATCATCATCAGTGACATCAACATCATGTGAGAGTTTTTCGATGTTATTTTGTTGTTCACCCTCGTCAATGCTCTCCTTAATTTGAGGAACAACAATAATCTCTCGAATAGGAAATGATATGAGAGAATTAATTTGAATCTCCTCAATATTAAAATCGATAATTCGAGATTTTTCACTCCCACTGATTTCATCATTTTCTCTTGGAATTTTGCATTATAAGATTCTACTATCCTCATAATATGATTATGGCAATAAAATTTGTATCCCTTGGATTTTTTTGGATAACCAATAAAATATCCTGAAATAGTTCTTGGATCCAATTTCTTTTCATATAGATTGGATACTCTTATCTTTGCAAGACACCTCCAAATATGTAAATGTCTTAAACCGGGCTTCCTACCAGTCCACAATTCAAATGGGGTTGATGAAACTGACTTACTAGGAACTATGTTCAAGATGTACATAGCTGTCTTAAGAGCTTCACCCCATATCGACTCAAGTACAGAGGAATAACTCATCATGCTCCTAACTATATTTATGAGAGTACGATTTCGTCTTTCAATAACATCATTCTATTGTGGCACATCTGGTAATACATATTGAGCACAAATACCCCGTTGTTTTAGGAATCTAGCAAAAGGACCAATATTCTGACTAGATCCATCATATCTACCATAAAATTCACCACCCCTATCAGATCTGATAATTTTAACTTTTATATCTAATTGTCTCTCGACCTCATTTTTGTACACTCAAGAGTATCAACGATTTAAGACTTTTCATGTATTAGATAAACATAGCCATATCTAGACAAGTCATCTATAAATATGATAAAATATATTTCTCCACTAAAACAAGGAATATGGAGTGGTCCGTAGATATCAGTACGAATAATCTCAATGAGTTCTTTACTTATTGTAGCATTTTTCTTTATATGTTTAGTTTGCATTCCCTTAATGCAATCTATACAAACATCAAAATCAATAAAGTTTAAATATTCTAAAATATTATCTTTCACTAATCTTTAAATTCTTTCCTTGGAGATATGTCTTAATCGTCTATGTCACAATATAGAAGATCTTTCATTATTGAAACTATGTTTCAATCCAACACTTGAAAATGAACTACACGAGGAAAGACTCATCAACATTCATACCTAATGTTTTAAATTTTGTAGCTTTGTCAGCCATATTGAGGATGTGATCCTGAATTTCTGAGTATCATAATATTGAGCTATAGTCAGTTCTTTCATTAGTATGTCAACCAACAACTATCCGTAGATTTAAATCTGTCTTCAATAACCTTTAAATATTCATATGCGTTAATTACAATCGGTAATGAAGTCTTTATGTTATTTACAATCGTCATTCTTATGAACATTAAACGAAGTCTATCAGATCTTTTTCAAGCCTTTATTTTATTAACTTGTTCTACAGTACTTTCATCAATTAAGTCTGTAGGCTTTTCAACAAGCAATGCTAAATCAAGATCTAATACACTCAGTGTAAATTTCACATGCTTTAACCATTCTGAATAATTTGATTCAAAGAGTACAAGGACACCAGAAGCATATGAATGTATGGACGAAAATACCACTGTAAAATATAAAATAACATTAATGCTTTGAGTTTGTCAAAATTTTGATGAACTATTGATATCATCTATATTACACCTTTGGGCGAAACATTGACATATTTAATGTTTACTCAAGATATCTATGGACGACTAATACCATCCTTGTGGAATAGTATTGTTTTGTTTGGGTATAAAACCTAAACTACAAGAATATCCAAAATAATATCATCCTACCCCATTACATAATTATTTGAAGTAGATTCTCCTTTGAAATTATATAAATC